AATTAAAATTAATAATAAATAATATACTTATTATCTTATAATAAGTGTTATCCTAAATTATTTTATATAAATTAAAAAAAATTTATAAATTTAATTTTTTTTATTAATTTTCTTTATTATAAAATATTTATCATAACATTATAACAATAACTTTTTAAAAGAATATTAGGAGGGATATAGGAGAGAGTGACTATGATATGATATAATGATGTGTATGGATTAAAAGTAAAGAGAAGTGGAAGTTGCCCTAGATTTGCTTCCCGCGCCATAGAGCATAGAAAGCTGGGTTCCAGGCGAGAAGGGAGCGTTGTTTCCCGCCACAACCACACCCTTTAAAAACCCCTCATCTCTTACTCCCATTCATTCATTCACTCTTTCTCTTGTCTTTATTGTGAACAACCAACCACTCACCCATGACCATGGCACGCACATCCTCTCCCCACAGAAGAACCCCCAAATGCCACCACAAGTACCTCAAACCAGGAGCACTCGCCAAACTCAGAGACTCCAAGATCGCAATCAATCGCACAACCAACTACCTCTTTCTCTCTCAACTCTCATCACCCCCCGCACAACACCACCACACTCTCCACCACCAAAACGACGCCGTTCCTTCCTTCCATCCTCCCATCTACCTCCGCCGTCCCCGCTGTCTCCTCCGCAAGAAACTCTTCGCCGTCGCTCCCTCTTTCACCCACGCCGACCACACCTACCGCTTCTAGGTCTAATCGATTGCGCCATTTAATGCAACTGTAATTCATCATTTCTTTTTCTCATACCTCCCAACGACGTAATAAATGAACCATACAATTTTTCCATTTATTCTGCCTTCTCTTTGCGTAATTCATTACAGTAGTAATCATTCATCGCGTGTGCGCTCTTAATTATAACGAATCCAGTAGATACACGCGTGTTCCAGATCCATGTTTCGATTTCCGATTTAATGCACCGCGTCAAAACTTGGCCGTTTTAATGCATTTAATTATTCTGCTCATGAACGCGACTTCATTAGATCTTCTTCAATAGAAGGATTGGGGTTTTATTTTGTTTCATTGTTAATTTCTGGTTTGGGAGAAGGAAACGGTATATACCCTATCTTATGAGATCCATATGCTAATCATGCTGTTGGCTGAAGAGGTTAACTAATAAGGCGAGAATTATGTGATGTTACTGGGAAATGGTAGAAGTATGCAGCACAATCCCTAATCAAATCAGAGTAATAGGAATATTATATACACTACTGAATTCGCCCAATATGAATACAGATAAACCTAACGTTCATTGATATTTCCTGCTTCGTGTTTTTGTGTTTGCAGTGCCTTCTGGCGATATATGGCAACAGATGCAAATTCATTTAGGTGATCTTCTGCTTCCTCTTTCTTTTTGTCTCTGTGATGTTATTCAAACTGTGGTTCGGTGTAGTCCGGCTAGTGAGTTTGGATTTGATATTCTGTATTGTTAATCCTAACATTTGAAAGAATAAGATCAATCTGGATTATATCTGTTAGACGAAAAGATTGTGTATTTAGCCGTTTATTCTTTGGTCTGATGATCTTGAAACCATCACACTGCGAATAGCCTTGGTTGTCATTGAACAAAAATTAGCATTTAGTTATTAAATTATGATACAAATTGTATTGTATATTAAATTAAATATCTCAGACAGAAAGAAACTATGGAAACCAGACAAATCCGAAGCATTGTATTTAAGTTGATGTCAATTAGCTAGCAATATGATATGTTCAGTCTGAATAACCATGCCTTGAATAAATTAATTCCTGCATTACGAATAACTCGACATATTGAAAGCTTATCATGCCTGTGCACATGGGACATTAAACTTGATTGAGTTACAAGCAAGACTGGCAACTCCAACTGGGGTTGACTAGTTTATTAATATATTCTTCAAACCAGAGGTTCTGGATCTTTATGCAGGATACTTTTCTTTTTGTATCAGATTCCCTTTGATTGTTAATAAGTGAATATGTTCATAAAAGAGATGGGAATAGTGGAACAAATTATTGCATGCTTCACTATGATCTCCGCTTTCATTTAAAGAACATTAACATAAATTTGCGTATAACAGTATAAAATCAACAATGGAAATCTTCTTGGAGCATGCATTGTTTGTTGGTTCAGTAGGAGGATTGATAGTAAAACAGAACAATTAATTGGGACTTCACGAGGAATAGGGGTTTAGATGTGTATGAGCTCATAAAGATCCATCAGAAAACTCGCTTGACATCATCATTTGACTCTAGATAGAGCCTATTAATATGAGCAGTACATAAATTACTGTTTTTGTGAACTGCTCAGTCCCTCTTCTAGACAAAATTAGGGGGACCAGTATATCTTTATGAAAAAGAAAAAAAACAACTCCTCATATTTGTAGCCCCATAACTCAAATTGGATAATTCTCAAATAACTAAAACGAAAACAAAGCCTTTAGCTATTTATCTATTTCATTTATTGAGTGGTCTCTACCCCCTTTTCTTGCCCGTATTTCGTTTCTTTAGAATTTTTTTTTTTTTTTAAGCTCTTGAGTAGGATGTGAAAAATGTTTTGGAGAGCTTGAGTCATTACCACTTGAGGAATGTTTTCTCATGATTAAACAAAAAGAATTTTATATTCTATGAAAAAAGATAATATTTTTGGTGTTTTCTAGGAATAAGACTAACACTTGGAAGTCTAAGTGTACAAATTGCACTATCAAGGGAGGTGAGCTACTAAGATCCACTAGTACTACACGTGAGTGATCTATAAGGGAATAGATATACCTGACCAGCTTCTTAATACTCCCTCCAAGCTATTACAATTTGAATGAATTTAAAGAAAATTGCAAAGAAAATTAAACTAGACTAAGCACATCAAATTTAGCAACCGATTTGCATCAACTAGTGACGGATTTGCAACAAATTGTTCAATTCCAATCCATCACTACTTTTGGTGTCCTCCTTTGAAGATCTTGACCTGCACAAATAACAAACTAAATCCAGAAGTTATAGGTCTCCTCACAATGGAAAGGAAAGATCACTCTTGTGAAGGATGTTTAGAAGGTTTTAGGAAAAAATGTTGAATGTCCTCCAAAACCACCTAGCCTTAGGTCTCTTGTCCTTCCTCTAGGATTTGTAAGTTAATGTTTTCTCCTTTTGCAAAAGTTTGATGCAACTTCCAGCCAAGAATCCAAGGAGAAAAACAGAAAATGCACAATTAGGAAACCTAAACCGAATAGGAATTAAGAAATGGCAAACTCAAAGAATTCCAATCAAGACTAAAAGACTAAAAATTAAGACTCACCTAAAAGTTGGCACACAAAGAAGAAAGTCTTAGATTGGCTCTAGATTAGATTAAGAAAACCAAAATCAAAGAGTAAAAATAAAAACAAGAAGCTATTCAATCAAAGAATACAATCCGGATTCAACTAAGTAGCAATGAATTTCAATATATTGTATTTCTCCTTTGGCTTTTTCTATTTGAATTCTTATTTTTTTTTTAACTTTTCTTTTCCAACTCTTTTCTTGAAATTTTAAGGAGTATATTGCCTTTTTCCAGAAAATTTTCCAACCACTATATATGAAGAAAGCAAGTCCGGATTGATTCAAAAATTTCATCTACAAGTAGTTCAAATTTGAATGAAATTTTGGTGCAATTTCTTGTCTCTAATGAACTTGTTTCTTTTCACTTTTTCTTTCAAACTTCTTTTCAATTCAATTATGTTTTTCCTCTGTTTTCACAAGTAATTTTCCAGATTTCATGGATCCCAAGTTATGCACCAAAATGAACTACTTCTACTAGCCAACAATCAAGTCAAAATGAACACAAATTTTTTTTTGTTTAAGGAATTGGAATTAAAACAATACAAACAAGAATGACACAATGGAAACCTAACTCTAAGAATCCATCAATGAACTAGTGATGAATCACACAAATTGCTAAACTAAGCACATCTTGAATTAATGACAATGAAATGACTAAACATGACTCTTGTAGACACCAATTTTGTCCGGGAGGTACAAAACAACAATATAGGACGTCAGGGACCCAAAAGACAAATTAGGGATTTTTTGCTGCATAATAATGTTATTGATGGAGGACAACATGATTCGCAAAGAGTCTTCTTCCCACTCAAATAGATTCCTTCTCCACCTAAAGTTCCAGGTCCAGTACCCACTCACCCAATTTCCCATATCAGCTATCAACTCATTTTTTTGTTCTGAAACTGAGAACAATCTTTGGTATGTATCTTTTAAAGCACTCCTCTCACACCATGGTTGTTTCCAAAAATAAGTTTCCTTTCCGTCACCTATTATTCTCCTAATACCTTCCTGAAACCATTCTCTCTTTTCTCTTTTACCCGATTTGCTTGCTTTTATGATGTTGTTCCACCAGCTCGAACCCCCTCTCACAATTGTGTCACTCACCAAACTCACCTCCCCATATCTTGCTTCAAGGACTTTGACCCATAAAGCATTAGGTTCATTAACCATTCTCCATTTCCATTTACCAAGAAGAGAAATGTTAAAAATTTCCAAGTCTCTCACTCCTAATCCTCCACTCTCTTTTGGCTTACACACAGTAGACCATTTCACCCAATGGATTTTTCTTTGTTCCAACCCTCCACCCTAAAGAAAGGCTCTTTGAATTTTGGTTATAGACAAAGAAACAGCTTTGGGAATTTTAAAGAAGGAAAGATAAAAGAGGGGAAGAGAAGATAATACCGATTTTAGTAAAATGAGTCTTCCACCGAAAGAGAGATGTCTCCTTTTCCAAGCTGATAACTTTGACTTCATCCTGTCTTTGATGGGATTCCAAAGAGAAAGAGATTTGTATTGGGCCCCAATTGGTATCCCCAAGTACACAAATGGAATAAAAGTAATGGAGCAATTTAAAAACATAACCATTCTCTCCAAATTTTGCTCCTCGACATGTATGCCTATGAGCCTACTTTTTGAGAAGTTCACTTTAAGTCCTGACACTAGCTCAAAGCACCTAAGTATAGCCTTAAGGGATCTAACATTCTCCCATGAAGGTTTTCCTATGAGTAGGGTATCGTCTACAAACTGGAGGTGGGTAATATTAAGGTCCATCTGCCCTATAGAGAATCCCTCAAACAATCTACCCTTGGTGGCTTCCCTCATTAATCCACCTAAACCTTCTGCCACTATTAGGAATAGAAAAGGTGCTAGGGGGTCACCCTGCCTTAAACCCTTAGACATTTTGAACTCTTCGGTTGGGCTTCCGTTTAGAAAGATGGAAATTGAGGAAGACACTAGGCATCCCCTGATCCATGATCTCCATTTGGAGCAAAATCCCATACGACTCATCATGTAATCTAAGAAAGACCAACACACTGAATCGTAAGCTTTTTCAAAGTCTATTTTAAAGATCATACATTGTTTATGTTTCTTTTTTGTTAAATCTACAATTTCGTTGGCTATTACCACTCCATCTAACATGTTTCTACCTCCTACAAAAGCATAATGATATTCTGGTATGATGTCACTTATGACTTCTTTAATTCTTCCAGCCAACAATTTTGCAATAATTTTATACAAGCTTCTTATTAAAGATATCGGTCTAAAATCACCTAGATCCTGTGGACTACTATTTTTTTGAATTAGCACCAAGAATGAGGAATTTGTACCCCTAGGTAATTTTCCATGCTCTTGAAAATCCTGCACTGCGGTTTCTACTCCAATGGAACCAGGCACAAAACTTTCAAAGTTTGATGGAGGAGATCGAGCTGATTCTGGGAGATATCGGAGCTTAGTCGGAAGTCTGAGGTACCTTACAAGCACGAGACCCGACTTAATGTTGAGTGTTGGGATAACGAGCAGATTTATGGAGGATCCGAGTTACACACACTGGAAGGCCTTGAAGAGAATTCTGAGATATTTTCGAGGAAGCCTATCACTTGGTCTTTTCTATTCAAAATCGGACGACTACCGATTAGTGGGTTACTCGGACAGTGATTGGTGTGGAGATGTTGATGATCGAAAGAGTACCTCGGGTTATGTATTTCTACTCGGGAATACGGCTTTTACTTGGCTGTCAAAGAAGCAGCCTATTGTAACTCTGTCAACTTGCGAGGCCGAGTACGTGGCGGCATCTTGGAGTGTATGTCATGCAGTGTGGCTTTCAAATTTACTGAGGCATATGGGAGTGATCCGAGAAGAAGCGATTGTGATCCGAGTTGATAACAAGTCGGCAATCGAGTTGGCAAAGAACCCGGTCAATCATGGAAGGAGCAAGCACATCGACGTCCGATTTCATTTCATCCGAGAGCAGATCAGACAAGGAAAAGCCGAGTTGGAGCATGTCGGAAGCCGAGTTCAAGCAGCAGATATATTTACCAAGCCACTGCCGACTACACTGCTTGAAAATTGCAAAAAGCTGATTGGAATGAGAGATGGGAAAAGCATTTAAGTTTCAGGGGGAGATTTGTTATGAAACTTAAATTAGGAGTTTTATTTTGTTTTAATAATATTAATGGTGTGAATTATGAGAGGCATTTAAAATATGTAAACGTTGTTTTTTTTGTCAGCTACAAATAAGTGTAATTTCATTTTACAACAAGAATGAGAATAGAGAGTTTGTTTTGCTCCCAAATTTATGCCCTTTTTCATTAACAGTATATGTGTTATAAACATGATTTCCTTCTGTCCCCCTTGCACTTGTTACTTTCAATTCCTTTGTCTAAACAGTTATGTATATTAAGATTCCAACACAAAATGAGACACATTGTAATCAAAGCACAGGAATACGCTCTCCAAGGGTTCTTACTTTCTCTAATTTCATTGAACTCTGCAGCAAAAGTAGGAAACAGTACTCAGACAGCCCCCGTCAGACTAAACTGTAGCAATCTCTGGTGTTGAGTGTTGACCTGCATCATACAGGAAATTCAGGTCATGACATCCAAACTGTGATGTATATCCTCTTTAATAAGAATAAACAAAGCACGGTGCAAGCATCAAGATATGTCATTCAATATCAGCAGATAGAAGTTCAAAGAGAAATAGTATTACCCGATGTAAGTAAATCTCATTCTCAAATATAATTCTGTTTGTATAATTACTGGCTTAGAGATTGCATAAGGCAGAGCCAAGACGCGAGGGGAGTGAAATGTTAGAAACTTACTTCTTTATTTACACTAGCAAAGTGCATCCATAACACTAGAAGCAGATATGGCTACAACAGGGAGGCTACACCCAAAGGCATGCCCAAAGAGAAATACGGGATGCTTCAAGTACGTGGTGCTCAGGAACCCTTGCCAAATTGAGGGATTCGAAAATCAACTCCAGACGCAACCAAAGTATTTCTGCTTCTGAACCTCTTTCCCCGGTTCCCCCCACCCAACAGGATGATCAGCCATTCAACAAGGATAATGGGATTCCTTGCTTCGATCCCCTCATCTATCACAAATACAATTGCATTAATTGCCTCACCCCAAAAAAAATTTATCACGGTTACTCTCCCTTTATCCCCGACGACACATTCTATTCCTAGGTTTAAACAAATGTGATCACAACCAATGATTAGATGTTTCCTTTGTTACTGTACCGGGAGGACCCTGTCGGTCACGTTGACCAACACGTGTTGTTCTGTCAGACACCCATGCGAACTGGACAATACTCAAGGTTGACGTTAGCATCGGCTCGGTTTATAGCTAAAGGCCGAGATTAGTCAACTGGCACATGTCGGCTCGGCTGAAGGCCGATGCAAACAGCATGATGCATTCCCACATACTACGAATCGGCTCGGTCAACAGCCAAAGACATGCAACCTCCCAAACATTAGCCTGTCGGCTCGGCAATGTGCCGATAGGTTAACGGGTTATAGTACAAATCACAGTTAACAATGACAAGTGCATAATTAAGACATGATTAGCTGATTAACATCGTATTACCTAATTTGGTAAAGATTAGAATAGGCCCACCACGTTCAGGCGCATGTCAAGTATTATAAATAGGTCACACGTAACGAGGTACGTCACTGTTCATTAATTATCCTAGAATATCGTGCTTGTCCTAATTTGAGCGTCGGAGTGCCTTTGGCAGGTACCTCCCCCCTCTGAAGAGTCCGTTTGAAGCATCCGTTCGGTCCTTCTCACTAAGAAGAATACGAGTGTACCCTCAGGCAGGTACAATTACACTTTGTTTAAAACTAGGGGTGAGTCAGGGATGGTCATACCAGTCTGGCTGTCTGTATTTTTTATTCTTTGGAATTAAAATTACTTGTATTGTTGGTGGACATAATTAATAAATAATCTTATTTTTTAAGCGGGAGTATTAGATTAGAATTTTATAAAAAAAAATTAAGTAGATTTTATAACACTTTGTAAGAATTTAATAAATTTTAAAAGACTTTTTTAATTAAAATTTTATAATATAAATTTTAATAGAATTATATCTTAAGAATTTATAAGATTTGAAATGTTTTTATTAGATTTTAAATGACAAATTAAATATTTAAAAAATTATATAATTAATAAAAAATATAAATAATAAGGTTTGAATAAAGAAAATAAAGTTAATAAAATTTCGAATCTTTCAATAAACAATTGATTATGATTTTGTGTCCTCTTAAATAACATTTCATTATATATAATATTCTATCCATTTATATTTTCTTATTCATATTATTGAATTTGAATAATATATTTAAATTTATAATATTCATTAATTGATAGAATTGTCAAAATATATTTTTAATATATCTAAAATTTGATATTTCATTATTAAATTTTATTGAAAATAAATATTTGTTAAATTTTAAAATTAACAATTTAACAATAATTATATATAATATTCAAAAATAATTTTAAATATTTAATAATTAATTTTTTTTGGATAAATTATACATCAATATTAACAAATGAAAAAGAAAAAATATTGATAGATAAAAAAATTAAAGAAAAGAAGAATAAGAAGAAGAAATAAATGAGAGATGAGCAAAAAAATATAAAATATGAGATGAAGAAGACATGAGAGAAGAGAAGAGAGAGGGAGAGGGGGGCATAGAAAGAGAATAAAGAAGATGAGAGAGAGATAGAGAGAGAGAGAGAGAGAATAGAAGATGAGTGAGAGTGAGAGTGAGAGAAAGAGAAAGAGAAAGAGAGAGAGAGAAAGGAAAAAAGGAGAAGCAAAAAAAGATAAGGAAGAAAAAAAAACTCATGTAAAATTTCAATAATTTTGATGAAATTGTTTAATGAATGAATTATATGTAAATTTTACTAAATAATCTGTTGAAGTCTTTATATTTTTTTAATTCTAATACTTTTTTTAAGTGAAAAATGATTTTAATTAAATATTATTAGATTTTGATATACTTCTAATTTTTTTTTAATTATTTTAATTGAATATCATTATATTTTAGTGTATTTTAAAAAAAATCTTAATTATATTGATGGAAGATTAGACTTAAGCATGTGCATTCAAAATCAACACAGTGCTTTTATAATTACTAAGTCAATTTGGTGTCATGGATAACCCCAACTCATGAAGCAAAGTCAACACAACGTTATCACTGAGTTTTACAGCAAGAAAGTTGTAGATTACCTACATGAGATCACAATCCACCACTCTGAATATGAATGCATTTTAAAAAGATGCAGACATGAACATAATACTCATCAGAACTTTACAATTAAGTTCATTAGGACCAAGTCATTCACCACATAGTTAGGATATCACGATCTTTTGTCAATCATCATATATTTGATTTTATTTCAACTTGTATTATTTCCATTATCATCAATAAAATGACTCAAATTTATTCCTTTCAAAAAATCAAAAATAAAAAATCTAAAGAATCAAATAAGTGACAAAAAATTTAAATTAAATGATAAAGATTTTTTTTAAAGAACGTATAACATTAATCTTTCCCACCCAACATACCCTTTAAAACCCCCCCTCACCCTCTATCTTTTTCTTTACACTCATTCTTCATTCTCTCGTTCTTTGTTCTTGGCTTTTTCATCGATGGCCAAAACAAGAAGCTCAGACCAGAAGAGATGGTTAAAGTTTGTAGCCCCAGGAACTCTTGCGAAGTTGAGGGACTCCAAAATCAGCAAGAGACGCAAGCAAAGGATCTCTGCTTCTGAAGACATAGTATTCACATCTACCTATTCTCCCCCCGAACCCCAATTCAACATGTATACTGGGATTCCTTGCTTCGAATACAATCTCCCCATTTGCATCAACAAAAAAAGAATATGCATATATAGGACTCCCTACTATGTCACCAACGACACATACTACTCCTAGGCTTACACATATGTCATCACAATCAAAGATTACATCTTTCTATTCTTTGACTTTGTTTTAAATCAGGGATCACTCTGCCTGTTTGTATTTTATTTTATTTTATTTTTATTTTTCTGCATTATATTTGTTACTTGTAGTTGGTATATAATCACAAGTCGTAATATAGTTCATAAATAAATTGTCTTTTAAGCATGTGTTACATATCATCTTTGGTGTAGTGTTTTTTTCTTTCTTAATTGTATTTTGGTGTTCTTATAATTTGCAATAGATTGAGAAGCCAAACTGAAACTCTTGGCTGTTTCAGCCCCAAATATGATGGAAAAAGCGACAAGAAACAATCTTGAAATACTTTGGGTATGTTTGTCGTATCAATTTAGCCATGATGAAGGAAAAGATTAAAAAAGAAGCAAATTGAACTTATCTTTTTCAGTATATATTCATATATATATATATATATATATATATATATAGAGGAGGGTTCAAACGACACCGGTGTAACACATG